ATGCTTAGGTATCTAAAAATTTTTTTGAAATTCCTGTGAATAAGATTATGTTCCTGCTCTCTCTCTTTCTCTCCCTCCCTCCCCCTTCCCCTGTCCCCTCTCCCTCCTCCCCTGTCCCCTCTCCCTTCTTTCTCTCACCCTCTCATTGGGTTCATTGTGATGACCTGTGCTTATATTCCCCAAGAATCACTGCAAAGCTAGAAGATGGCCTGGCCTCAGGCCACATGGGAAAAGGGCCCCATGCTGAGTGGCACTGGGGAGGCAACTTGCCTGTTCCCTTCTGACTCCAACCTGACCCTTCCTTGAATATTCTGTTGCCACTGCAAAGAGAAACTTCAGAGGAAAAGTTGAAGGGAAAAAGCTGTCCTGAGACTGGCCAGGCCAGAGCAGTGATGAAAATTTCTGCCTCCTTATGGACAGGACCAACCGAGTCACAAAGACAGGCCTTGTGGGAAGAATAGAGGGACTTGGTGGGACCCTTACATCTCTCAAGTAATGGTCCACTTTTTAACATACCTGTCTGACCAAAGGAATCCAAATGTTCCAGGACCAATATCCCAGACTCCTGGCTCTCAGTGTAGTAGTGACCAGCAGCACCCTTGTAGCCTGCACTGTAACAGGGACCTAGAGGCTGGGCCTGCAGATGCCCAATGAGTAACCAAAAACAGGAAGGAGCTTGGCACCTCTGCCTTCAGTTTTGTCTTGTTTTGTTTTTTAAATGTATTTGGTACAGGGTCTGTACCAAAGCAGCTCGGACTCATAGTGATCCTCCTGTTTTCAGCCTCCCCAGCACTAGGATTACAAGTGTACACCACAATGTGCCTGGACTCTGTGGCTGGTTTAGCCCACCCTGGGGGCAGGACTGACATGTCATGTGGTGCCAGGGATCAAACCATGGTCCCTGTGTTTGCATGCAGGTGCTTTAGTCTGCTGAGCTATCTCACTGGCCCTGCCTTCAGTTTTATATCTGTCTCCTTTATTATCTTAAAACTTTGGGGCAGATCCTGCTCAGCTTTGCACAGAGGCCTGGTAATCACCTGGTGAATGTCCAAATCACAACATTAATAAGGCCACATGTTACCCAGCCTATCTTATCCCCCTTCAAGACTGAGGAAACTGGGATAAGAGTAACAAAACTAACTTTCAGCATATGCGGGGACATCCAACCATCAGCTTTAACAACATCCAGGTCCAGACCCCTTGGATGCTTACAGATCTCCAGACATTACCCTAAATCTGTAGTCCCCTTGGACTCCAGGGAAAGCCGAGCCTCACAGACCATGCTGTGATGCAGTCTCCATAACCAGGAAAGAATTGAGGCCCACTACCCCAACAGCAGCCATCACCTCACAACAAGAAGCGAACAGCACCCTCGAGTGCTGATGGCTCGCCCAGAGCCTTGCAGAATCGGCCCTACCATGTGGCTCATGCAGAGCAGAGCTTCAGCAGGATTTCCTACACTGCCAGCTACGCCCAGTCCTTACCTTTGCTCCCATTTCCTATAAAACCCTCAACCTCTATCAGCGCTTCAGATTTGGGGTTGTAAGGTACTGGAGACTGAACATAGGGCCCTCACACTGAGCTACACTTCCAGTCTGTAAAAAAGTTTTTTAAAGACAGGGTCTTGCTAAGTAACTAAGTTGCTAAGGCTTGGCTGGAACTTGAGCATCTCTTGCCTCAGCCTCCCAGAGTGCTGGGAGTACAGTGTGTACTCCCAATGCCAGCTCAAGGTCAGAAACTGAGCCTGGTTATCTGTCCTTTTGCCATGGGGCTGCTGATTAAAGCTCTTTTTCTGTCCTTCAGCTCTGCTGCTCTCCTGGATTTGCATGTTGGAATGAGTGGCCAAGCCTGGTCTGTCGGGAGCCCCCAGTTAGGGCTTTTATCCTAAAACTTGGATCACAGGGTATTGATTCCTGTTATACATCGAACCAGCTCAGTGCTGGTGCCAGTTGTTTAGTTAAACACTGGTCTGTATGTTGCTCTAGAAGTGTTCTGTAGATGTGACTGACACCCACAGTCAGTGGCTTTAGAGGATATTACCCTCAACAATGTAATAGGGCCTTATGCAGCCAGTTGAGGGTTTTTTTTTTTTATTTTTATTTATTTGAGAGAGAGAGAGAGAGAGAGAGAGAGAGAGAGAGAG